GCTGGCGAGGGAACTAGCCACATCTGCACCAAAAGACTCTGGGATTCAAGTCACCTGTCCGGATGAGCTTTATTCTCTCCTGTTAGCAGCAAAAGATCAAAATTGCTCTCTATGATCCTAAGCAAATGACAATGGCGTATGATTACTATCACCACTTTCCTCGGGTATAGTATAGAAAAGCAAAAGAGTTCCCTGCATCATCATCATCTTCAAATGAGTCCTTCCCCCCCTCTGATTGAACTTAGTGGGCTCAGCAAAGTAGTAGGCTTATATGGCTTTGAGGTTTTTGACCCTGATGGGTGGATCAATTTAGCTCTGAGACCCTAATGTGGTTCCTTACAACGTGTGTGTGTGTATGTGTGTAAGTCACAGATCAATGTCACTTGTCTTTCCCAGCCCTTCTCTAGTCATTTTCTTTCTTTCTTTCTTCCTTCCTTTCTTTCTTTCTTTCTTTCTTTCTTTCTTTCTTTCTATCTTTTTTTTGGAGTCAGGTTCTCTCATTGGACCTGGTGCTTACTGATTCAGCTAGGCTGCTGACCTGCCTTTGAGTTCCAGGGAGCTGCTTGTCTCCGCATCCTTGCTGACAGTTTGCCTACTCCTGCAGCCCTTGTATGTCTTTTTAAAAAGGTAATCAAGCCTGCTGTGCAAGTGCTTTACTGACTGAGCCAACTCACCAGCCCAGTTCCTTACATTTTATACTGGTCCCTTACTCCAAACTGTCTTATCAGCAGCTGAGGAATGTCATAGAGAGCCATTTAGGCTGCTGAATGTGTGTATAGTATGTATGTATTATATATACACAGACACACACACATATACATACACACTATATATATGCATACATACACATTGATCTATACATATACACTTGTATGTATACACATGTGTGTGTGTGTTTCTGACTGGATGCTAAGAAATCTGTCCCAAACCAAACCCTATATGTAACCCCCTAACTTGATCAGGCAGTCATGAACAGGCTGTGCCTAGTAGGCCTCATGAGGATGCTGTTCTTCCTAAACTGAAACAATCTAATAAGTGGGATTCAGTTTTCAGAGGTGTGTTTCAGTTAAGGACTCATGCCCACCTGAGACCACCAAGCCCACGGAGACATCTTCATTGACACCAGGTGCCTCCGTTGGAGATCTCCTCATCGCCTGCATGAGCTGAGCTGCTGTCTGGGTGTTGTCATGGAATCTGCCTTCCCACTTGTGGCTGGAGAATTGTCTCCACTTTGTTTCGCTGCTGTTTCTTGTTCTCCTATTTTCTCCTTTCCCCTCTGGTCCATGGTCGATAATGAGGTAGGAACATTGTGTTCCAGGCTCATGGCAGAGAGATGGCTCTTTCAGCTTCCACCTGACCCTGAGTCAGCAATGTATGTGGGAGTCAATGGAAACCTGGGACGTTCCCACTGCTCTTTTGCTTCTCCATGACGTCACCATGGTAAATGTGTAAAGGTTTGTGGATTATTGTGATGAGCCTTGCTTTCCCGACATGATGGCTGAGGCATTGCACCACTGTGTTTCTTGTTCTCCATACTTAGGAATAAGCATAGAGACAGTCTTACACTAGACTGCTTTCAATGCTTTCCAAAAAGTATTTGATTAACAAAATTCTGAGGTAGGCACACTGCAAGTTCCCTTTTTGTAATTGCTCAACAAAAGGGTAAATAACTTGTTTAGTTTTTCACAGAAAAGTGGGAAAATGAAGATTCAAAACGCAGGCAACAAAGGCCCTGAATCTGTGTTTCCTCTCTTCTGGAGAAGCATGACATTTTGCTTTTCTTGAGCAGCCTGGTCTCCTTCTCCTGTGACTTCTGACATAGTCCCATTCCTTACACAAGTGCGTTCTAAAAAGAAGCACTGTTGTTTCCCTCTTCAGCCCCTTGCATACTAGTCCCATCCCTACACTTGTATGGCTGTTTAGTTCACCAGTCATAGCCGTATCAATGCCATCTTCTCTCACTTTCCTTTCTGGTTGTTCTTTTGTGTTCATGGCATGTACCTGTAATGTGTGTGTGCCCACATTTGGGTAGAACACAGAGAGTGTCTTCCTCACTTGCAAAAGGAAATGACACATAGACAAAATTCTAGTATCAAGCAGTGTCATTGGCCAACTCCTCAGCACTTTCCTTTTTCTCTGCTATGCCGATAAAGTGCCAGCATGGGCTGCTACCTTACACAGGAAGTGTATAAGAGTGACTCACAGTTCAGCTTGTAGTTGTAAGACAAAAATGTAAAATGTAACCAAAAAATGAAACTTTGTGGCAAGTTAATGAGAAATTAGGATTGTTTTTTAAATCATAAAAATCACTGTGAACTCATTGACATACAAACTTAATGGTGAGTATACATGGTGACTCATTCTAATCCCCCACCTCTTTCTTGTCACCAAGACCCATTTTTACAAATAATGTGTTTAGTGCTTCTTTGAGAATTTCATACAATGTATTTTGATTGCATTCGCCCCTTCCAACTCCCTTAAACCATAAAGTTCAGTTTGTATTGGCTAAGTACTCTTGGGTATGGAGACAACTTGGCATACAGTCAACCTATCTTTGGCCGCATGATTAATGAAAATTGACCCTCCCTGTACTAGCAGTTATCCAATGCTAATAGCTTCTCAGCTAGAAGTGGCCTTTGCACCCTCCTACCTCCTCCAGGCTGGGATTTTGTCTGCTTGTAACTTGTGTCTGTCTTGTGCATGCTGCCCCAATTGCTGTGAGCTCGAATGTGCAACTGCCCTGTTGGGTACGGTAAACACGATTTCCCTGAAGTCATCTATCACCCCTGGTTATTGCAATCTTTCTACATCCTCTTTCTGGAAGATTCTCTGAGTCCATATGGAAGGTGTGTGATGTTGGCCCCCCATTTGGGCTCAACACTTCAAAATCTCTTATTTTCTGCATGTGACTAAATATGGGTCATTTTTGAAGGCCTCCTCTTCAGTATCAAGTGTCCTCTTAAAACTGAAGATACAGGGACTGGATAGGTAACACAGCAGTTAAGAGTACTTGCTGCTCTTCTAGAGGACCCAGGTTCTATTCTCAACACCCACATGTAAGTTTACAAGTGTCTAACACTGATGCTCTCCTCTGGCCTCTGCAGGCACCAGGCATGCATATGGTACACAGACATACATTTAGCTATAACTTTCATACATATAAAATATTTAAAAATTAAAAATGGAGCTACATACCTAAATGTACATACAAGATAAAAATAATTGACATTTTTCAAGTATGTACTATATGTTATACCCAGCACTACATAAACTAGGTATGGTAGCACATGCCTGTAATCCTAACACTTAGGAAGTAGAGGCAGGAGGATTGGGGATTCAAATCATCCTCAACTACGCAGTGAGTTCAAAGGCAGCCTGAAATAGCCAGGCCCTATCTTTAAAAACAAATTATATGTGCTTCTTGCGTGTATGCACATGTATACATGCATAGATGTAGGAAAAAGTCCCATACCCATAATTGTATACATTTATGAAGTACACATTATTTTTTAAAGACAACAAGTATTCAACCTTGTGAAGTTGTTTTCACTATGATATCCTGTTTATAGGTAGGAGTATAAAGCTCAGAACAGTTAAACATATTGATTTTTGGTCAAACAACTAGCAAAAGACATAGCCAGAATAGGGGCCACATGTTTGGGGACAAAGAGTGCTCCTCATCACCACACCCCACCATGTATTAGTGCGCACATTTGCAGACCCTAAGTAGAAATACAAACACTGATAAAGTGCGAAGAAAAATATAGATTTAAATCACTCTCATCAAACAGGCAAATGAAAGAACGAACTATGTTGAAAATCTTCCTAGACCTCAAGTCTGTCATTTTTATTCTGCAATGAATTTGATCTAGTTGAGGAAACCTTCCTTATTGGCATCTCATTCTTCCTGCACTAACGGGGGATATAGAAGGGCCGTGAGATTTGAACCCACAAAAATACGCCTTCCCAGATTGCTCTTAGAGGCCTCTTTTACCGGTGATTCTTTTCATTTTATGTTTTAAGGAGGACTCCACAGGGGCCATAGTCAACTACAAAACTGAAATTAGATGGATGGCCCAGAATTAAGAGCCAACCCCCAACTTTTCTGAATTCTCTGTGATAATTCATGCAAGGATTTGTGTTTTCATTCTGACAAAAAAATCAACATAAACACAGTTTGAATTATTTAGGAAACAAATGGGAAAGTTGAGCAGAAGTCAAAATTTCAGAGTTGTTGGCAGTCATGAGATTCGAGTAAGTTAGACCTGGCTGCAGTCCTTAACGCTGTCTCTGCATGTGTCTGAAGCTTGTTGCTATGGTCCCTACATTGAAAATGTAAAATTTTACAATTTTTTAAATTGTAAGTTGAAGACGAAAAACCCTACATCACAGGAAAAATAAATTTAATAATGTCTTGAACTAGAACATAATAAATTAATAAAGTATTATTTATAATTACTCATTCATGAAAGAATAATTTGGATTAATTTGACATAGAAGAATATTGGCTAGGTACCCACTGACCTTTTCCCTAAGGACTTTTCATAGGTCGATGATACTATGAGTTTGACAGCTGGAAACTGGCTTTTTTTTTCTTTAAAGGATTCATACTATCTCAGAAGCTGCTGAAGCCTAGCACACACCTAGAGGGACTCCATAAGCAAGGCATAGACAAATGGATATCCCAAGGAGAAAACTGCCTCAGCATAACAATGAAAACAGGTAAACCTAGGCAATAAAACAGAGCCAAACAAATAGATTCTATAAATGTAAAGTGAAAACCAAACCACTCCTGCAATTATAGCACTCATATGATTTATGCCTTTAATTTGTCTAAATCAGTGACCCATGGAGTATTGGCATAAAAATTTCAAATTCAGCAGAAACCTAAATCACTGTAAGGAAACACTGCATTTTTATTAGTTATCCTTCTTGCATTGACTTCTCCCAAACAAAATGAATCCTTCCCCGAGTGAGGCAAAATGAAGTATTGTACTTACTGAGATATTATTGATCTCTGAGTCTTAGCATCCAATACGTCACAGACACATAGATGCATTCCTTGCCTGTGAAATCGAAGGCTCAGAATTACATTCATGAAACCTTGGCTTCTGCGGAACGTTAACCGCAGATTCTAGCCTAGATTATTTGATAGGAAGACACTAAAACAGACCGTGCAAATTTGGGTATAACACAAACATAAACAAAAAAATTAAATAAATCTTCCAGGGAAGTCAGTTTGCGATAGCTCATAGAAGCCTCAATGGCATAAACATATATACTCGAGAAAGCTCAGGAAATGGGGCCAAGCCCTGGGGTCTAGGAGACAGACTATAAAATGCAATAAAATCCCAAAGGTGGATTATGATTTTGAAGTACATCCATTGATATTCACATACCCGAGAGGAAGGTTCTGATTGCCCTTTGAGATAGAGGAGGCCAATAACAAAAAGAGAGTGCTCTTCACATTGGAGACCCCTGCTGACTTCCAGAAATGATTCAAACCTTGGGAAGGAAAATGTGATTTTAATTCACAGAGACCCATGTTATCCTCTTGCCCTACAGAGCTGTGAGACAATAAATGTGTGCTGTTTTAAGCTACTATTGTGCTTGTGAGAATGGTTATGAAATCAACAGAAAGCTAGAATTGCCATTTTGGAAGTTATTTCTTACAACACGCATTAGTATTGTATTAGAAATTCAACTGGTGCTCAGTGTCATCGACTAAATGCAGCTGCACAAATGTAAACAAAACCTCCAACACAAAGTGCACTCCTAGATGGTCCTGCTGAGTTTTATGAATAACTACCTCTGAGTTTGCTGTAAAAATGAGGTTGGAAGGAATGGTGAGGAAAGATGCCAGTAGGCTATACTCTCACTTTCATGCCCTCCTCATGTGGAGCAGGAGAGAGTTATGCAACCTCCCTAAACACAGAAGAATTCAACACAGAGGAAAGAGTGGAGATGGTGGTCTGTACCCTCTTGGATTGGCTCATAGAGTTAAAAAAAAGAGAGAAAATATGTCTGGTGTCATGGAGGTTGTGTGGAAGAGGTTATATGAAAGAGGACTTCTAGGTGGACTGGGAGACCTGAAATTTTGGGAATAGGAAACTTGAAAGTGGTTGTTGGAAGGGGTCCCCACTAATGTTCTGGGAGTACAGGCCAGAAGCCACTACAGAAAGGAACGTGGGAACTGCTGGGGATTATCAATGAAGGATTCTGCATTGTGGTCCTGCCGTTCTCTAGAGGGCTTAGCTAGTAGAACAAGGCCTTTTCCTGAGTGAAAGACTTCAGGCTTCGGAAACCCAGCCAGAATCAGGCAATAAAAATGGGTCAGGGGAAAGCAGTCATCCTGTACACATGGCTGATGTCTCTGTTTGAAGTGGGTCTGAAATGGGAGAACAGAGAAACTTAATGTTTGGACTATTATGTATTTAAGATCAGACTTTACTGCAATGAGACTGTCCCTGTGACTTGAAAAGGACCACAGAAACTGAGGGACTTGTCCAACTTTTCAAAACTAGAATCTATTGACAGACAGTGGCAGATGGAGGATGAAGTTTGTCAAATTTGTCTTATAAATGTGCTCATCAAGTCTAACATTTTTTTTTCTTATATTAGTTATCAAAACAGCAGAGTGGTTTGAAGGCCCAAGGAAACAAAATCTTGGCCTAAAATGATGACATATAAAAAAAGCCTGAATGTATAGTAAGTAATCTGTAGTTACCTCATATTAACCTAGAGATGACTATATATAAAATCGTCATGAATCCAAATAAGAACAACAACAACAAAAAGCTAAACGCTAGTGAGTAGGTAAGACTAGGAAAAAGTACAAATTGGGATAAAAAAAAGTGACCTAGGAGATGAACTTTACACCCAAAGATTTTGATAGGTTCAGCTACAGGATGCTAAAAAATTTCCTAAAATGAAGAGACAAATACATCTTCAAGTCAACAGAACACATAGCCTCTGGCTTCTAAGCATCTCTCATCTCTCGTGTTCCCAGGTAGAAGAAAATCTACAGGCTCCCACTGGCCTCATCCCTCTCCATAATCTCTATATTAGTTCCTTTTCTTGAGACAATAATAAAATAGCTGACAAAGGCAAACTTAGGGGAAGAAATGTCTACTTCGGATCATAGTTTCAGAAGGTTAAATCTAACATGGTGGTGAAAGCAGGGCCCCTCACATAATGGTCAATCAGGAAGCAAAGACACAAGATCAGAGCTAGAGGTGAGTCTCATACACACACACACACACACACACACACACACACACACACACACACACACAAATATGGATCCATATATGAGATAAAAACAAGCAGTGTGTGTATTTCTGTGTGTGGCCTCTATCACTGAATATGATGATTTCCTGTTCTATCCATTTTCCTGATGGTTTCACAGATATGGCTTTAAATTTTTACTTTATTTTTAAGAAATCCATATGCATACAAAGAAATATGATCACACCTATCCCATTTCCCCCAAACCCTTACATATTCTCACAAAACACTTCCCACCTTTGTCAACCCCACCTGCTTTTGTATAACTTATTAAGTCTTGTCAATGCTGCTCACATGTGCAGCCACAGAAACATGGGAAACCTACCAGCGGCCATAACCTCAAAAAAAGAATGATTTGTCCTCCCCCAACAGTTACCCGCTACCAAAGGGGTGAAAGTTTGAGCCACCTATGCCTAGATCACGGCTGTCTTGATCTTGTGCAGGTTATGTGCAGGTAACCATAACAACTCTGAGTTTATAACAATAGCCATGTCATATCCAGAAAAGATTCTTTTGTAGCCCTCCTCTTATTCCTCCAGCTCTTACATTCTTTCTGCCTTCTCCTCTTCCATGTTACCTAAGCCTATGGAGGTTAATGTTGATGCCCTGTTTACGATTGACCCTTCAGTCCCTTATTCTCAGTACTTTGACCAACGATGCATCTCAGCACTGCCTGTTGTCCATTGCAAAGGGAAGCTTTTCTGACAAGTTTGAGAACAGCCCAGGTCTGTCAGCACCAGAAGCTGGGTAGCAGATACTGTTACTGGCATGGCAGATTCTGGATCACAAACTGAACCTTCAAAACTCATCAAAGCCCTTTCAGTTTATGGCACATAAAGGAAAAACAATGCTTTAAGTACCATTTTCTTTGTTGCCACCCACAACTTCTTGACCATTGCTCAAAGGTAGAAATTAGGTTCCTTATTGCACCATAGGCTGCTTTATTCAGGAAGCTGGATGTAGCAAGCAGACATGCTGATATAGGTACACATCTCTAAGTCATACGCTGTTCTGGTCAGCCGGAGGCTAGGACAAGTGCATCCAAGCAGAAGGCAGAGAGGGTCAGAACATAATCGGGAGAAGAGTTGGAAGAGCGACCACAGGCACAGCACAGAAAGTGACTTGCCCCATCGGCCCCTGGAGAGTCTTGGAAGTAAAGCAGCTGCACAGGAGGGGACTGGCTGGTGGTGCCAGCTGGTGGAGCATATTTCATACAGAATGTTACCTGTTGCTTTCCATAGCAATGTCTGCAACACTTCTTAAAAATAGAATCGTAGCAGAAGACGTCCTAGGCATCCCCTGCTTCTAAGCAGCCATGCCTTGTTCTTAGCCGCAATGTGGGGGGGGGTGGGGTGCTTGACAGAGCTGATAATGTTTGCCAAGGGAGTTTAAAGGGTCAAAAGCCCTAAAAGTCAAGATAACTGTTGTAGTCTTTCTGGAATTCCATGTGGGCTCTTGCTGACTGTGGTCTGAGTCTTCTGTGAGCATGAATCATGTATTTCCTTGATGTGTATATGTTTGCATGTTTGTACATACCGTTTTTTTGAGGCAGTGTTTTTCAGTGGTACCCAGGATTGGCCAAGTAGGCTAGAATGTCTGGTCAGTGATCCCGAAGGATCTGTCTGTTTGTGTATCCCCTTCACTAGGATAACAAGTGCATGCTATCATGCCTGGCTCTTTTTGGGCACTACTTGAGGTTCTCATGTTTATTCAGTATGCAGTTTACAGACTCAGCTTTCCCTTCTGCATTGTATATGCTCTTTAAATGTTGTAATGAATGAGGGAGGAGAAAGAAGCTGCTAGATCTCATCTCAATGCCACTGTATACCTGACCAGTCTATCTTATCTCTGACATTAGTCTCAGTTGCTCCCCCTATTTTCTATTTCAGCAGCCTCTATGGAGGCCTCTGTGCTTATGGGTCTAAAGATTTTGTATGAGGTTTATGTATTTTTTTTCCTGGCGACAAAAGCCAGATGAGTGCTGAATCTCTCTGGGTTCACTGTCGCAGGGAACCACAGCAGCCCCAGCTCTCAGAGCTGGATGCCCAGGGCTCTGACTTCCAACGTTCACTAAGAATTCCATTCGGAAAGAGCAGAGGGAGACCTCTGACGCGCAAGTGAAAGGAAGGATAAGAGCCAGGAAACCAGTCAGTGGATGTTCTTGGACACAGCTTTCCCATATAACTTCTGACTTGGTGTTGCTGTTCTTTAGAAACATGAGAACAGCTTAGGTAAGCTGAACACATTTCTTTTTATAAGTGGGTTCTGCCAGTCAGGATTAACAGTTACATGCGGAGCTAGGCCTGGTGGCACCGATATATAATCAAAGGTATTTGGGAACTAGGGCACGGAATTGCAAGTTCAAGGTTTGACTGGTCTACAGAGCAAGATTAAGACCAGTCAGTGCAACTTAGTAAATCCTGCCACTAGATTAAAAAAATATTAAAGGGTTGGATATATAGGTTGATGATAACACACTTGCTTAGAATGTGAAGGACCCTGGGTTCAATCCCTAGGACTATAGAAAGAGAGAAGAAAGAAAGAAAACAAAAGAAGAAAAGTGTTCTAAGTAGTTCTAGATTTTTGGATACTAGATTTAAAATCATACAAAGTTTATGAACCTTTCTTTGTGTTGCTATAGAGACACCAGCCGGAAGGCTTAGACAGCTTGTATTTGTTTCTCATGGTCCCAGAGGCTAGAAAGCCAAATCCAAGTTCCCAGGAGGTCAGCTTTTTTTGTGAGGGCTTGCTTGCTTATAACCTCACATGACTTGCCTCATGCACCAGAGGAAGGAAGGAAGCAAAGGAGAAACACAGAATGGGGGATGAGGAAGATAAGGAAGGAGGGAGGAGAGAGGAAGAAGGGGGAGAAGAATGAATCTGTCTTTTCTTCTCCCATCATGTGATGGAGAACCATTGGCAGGACCTTACCTCAACCTAAGTAATTCTCAAAGATCTATCTCCAGAGACCACCCCGCAGAGGGACAGGGCTTTAGTATATCAATTCTGTAGCACTTTCCCTCTACAGCTTAGGACACTTGGAACACTACTGCGAAAATAGCAGACTTTGTGTTTTACCAGCAATGATAATGAACAGAGTGGACATCGAGTTGTCTACAGGATCATAGTGCAACTGGGGTGAGGACTGGAATGAGTTTCTGGAATCTCTCAGCAGCGTTCACTCCAGGATGTTCACTTTGGGACTGTGAGCATCACCA